TTTCAGACATGAGCTCTGGAAAACGCCCTGAAAATTGGGCCTTTCACATATGAACAACACCGCAGGAGATTCTCCAGGTCACGATGGAAAAAGGTTTGGAACGTTCAGGTGAGGGGCGGCGTCTGGGGAGAGCCTGCAGAAGGTTACAGCACATCAACTAACGCATCGGTCCTTATCCCCGAAAACTCTCAAACCTCGCCATTACAAGTTGACATCTTTGTCGACAACAAAGCACCACCACTTCTTTTTTGTTTTTCAGTTTTACATCCTTGTACGTCCTGGCTCCCTCAAGTATTTTCTAAATGTTTACTGGGAGGCTGGCAATATATAAATTCCCTTTTGCCTTCTCACATACAGAACTTCTGGGAAATTTAAGGACAATATCTGGATAAAGTAAATATCTCGTTAAATCACTGCTTATCAGTTCATCATTTCTGTCAATTATTTAAGCAACAAATACCACAAATTCTGTTTCCAGCTTCTCAAACGTGAGAATTTCCAGAGTCATTCAAAATGAAATGTCTTTGAATTCTGTCCTGTTGGTTGGACAAAACAAACCATTTGAAAAAAAACTTCAATTGACAAAACTACTGCATCCCATGTTATGACAGTTGTTGATACAGGTAGTTTAAAGCTGAAATTCACCTCAGTATATAAACATTGTGGTGGAAACATCACAGGAAATGTAGATGGTTACACAAATACCACCGTTAAACAAATCAGGGGCCTACCTTGAACATTGCCAGCCCGGATCTCCTCTCTGCTCTTCAGAACTGGCATGATGGAGTGATCTGGGATTCGACTCCTCCTCTCATAGCCTCAGATGAAGGGATAGTAGACAGATGAAGTCACGCACGGAAGACTGAGGTGGGGTCTCGCAGAGGGTGGAGGTGGGCAGTGGTGGGGCGATATAAGTGTGGTGTTTTTAAAGTGTAATAATATGAATAGAGTTTACAGTAACTAGCATTAAATCTTTAAAACTCTGTGTAAACATATAAGCAGAGTTGCTCAGTGGAGTTGAGTTGCGTTGAGTTGCTTAGAAACTGGTTTTTACATGTAAGGTGCCAAAAAAAGACTAATCTGTGGAGAAGCAGATGAGAGCTGGTTGAACTACGGTTCTGGAATTTGAAAGCTGACCATCAACTCAAAACATCAGTGCGAACTCAAACAAAGTCAAATATGGAGGATGGAAAGAGAGGGAGGGGCGCGCTTTCATGCGCTTCTTTCCATCCGATTCTTCTTTCCTTTTCGTCCAACACTGCTGATGCAGCTCGCCGAAGTCTCGTCTCAAAAGTCTGCAAGCGTGTGAACACGGTTGCCTTGGAGATGAGGAGACGAGCAGTTTGGTATGTGTGGGGGGGTACTCCTCCTCTTCTTCGTTCCTTCTTTCCTTCCTTCTCTCCTTCTTGTTTGGCTTTCCTTCACTTTGTGCTTTGCCTTGCTCTAGCCAGTCATGATCATGGGTTTGCAGGGCCGGGCTGCGCTCGCCGCTTTCTCAGTCTGAAGGGGAGAAGAAGAGATGGGCAGAGTGAGACGGAAGAGAGCGGCTGTGGATGGATGTGTTGCTGGTGAAGGCTGAATGTCACTCTGTACACAAGTCAACTGCCCCTGAGGTCAAGGCTTAACTCGGCCAAGCCGCTGTGCCTACTTGCCCATTTTCACTGCAATCTGAATGTGTTGAACGCTGTTGCCCACTTATGTCACTGTGGGGTTTGTTTTTTTATAGATGATGCTCAGAGTGCTTCTGTTTTATCTCTGAGGTTTTTTTAACCTGGGTCCTGACAATGTGGGTCACAGAGTCTTTCAATGTGTTTCTATCAAATTGTCGCTTCTTTAATTTTATACCTTGATGTATTCAGGTTCACTTTGCTGCATCTGCTACAAAAGGAAATTCCTGTCAGGTCATTTTATCTTTAAAGAATTTATCGACTGAGGTTTCCAAGAAGTGTATTACTACCATGATAAAGATTTAATATAGTATTATATATTATTATTATTATTATTATCATTAATATATGATTGATATCTTGTCATCATTTAATGGTAGGGAGTAACAAGGCAAATATTTATCTGCAGTGATAACTTTGGTCCAGCAATGAAACAATTAGTTGATTAGTCGATCAACAGAAAAAGTAATAGCAAATATTTCAATAAAATCAGTTAATCGTTGAGGCAGTGCCTTTTTTTCAGGGAATAATGCACAGATTTTTTTGATTTCTACTACAAGAACTACACAACCATGTGAAGGATTGTTTGGCCTTGGTGGAGGTACAGTATGTTCTCTACTGAGGGCTTCTGGTTTTCTAAGTCTTAGGTCATCAAGTGGATTTCTTTTCCATTTCACGCTTGGTTGGAAAAAAAACATAGGCGTAATCTTGCAATTCTGGATCGTAACTGATATTTTATCGACCAGATTATGAATCAATTACGTTTGGTTTCTTAGCATATGACAGTATCTACAGACACATGCCAAAGTTTGTGTGCACTAAACCAATGTTTGTTCTGCATTTCCAGTCTTCATTTTAACATGTATCATATTCATGTCTGTATCTGGGAATGTGTGTGTGTGCGTGTGTGTGTGTCTCTGTGTATTTTGAGGAAGTCAAGTATGTAGGTATAAACAGTTTAGCCTCAGGAAAATTGTCAGAGGATATCTGCATGTGTAGAATGTTAATCCTGTCTGGCACTGTAATGAATAATTCATTAAAAAAATGTTGGTTCCAAAGAATTACCTTTTTCTCTGACTCTCATTGTATTGAAATGACAGTAACATTGACTTGTGTATAATAAAACTGTATTTCTTTGAATAAAAATGTGCATGAAATTGAATAGAGCTTATTTGTTAATTTATATTACTAAGTTCTAAATATCTGCTTTCAAATATAGTTCATGGTTTGATTTATTCTCGTGAGCCATCTTTAATGAACGCAAAGGTTTTTATGAGCGTATGCTTCCAAATATAAACTGTTAATAAAACGCATTTTCTTTTTTAACAAATAAATGTTCCCTATTTTTTCTGCTTTTATGGTTTAAAGCATGGTGAGATTTGAAATCTACAGTTTTGTTTTTCAAGGGCACGATGTTAAATCAACCCCCTAACCCATTCAAACGATATAACTGATTGTTCTTCTGAACATAAATCCCTCATTAGACTGAGACCCTGGAGGTAATCAGGCCCTTTTTTGGTCTTTATATTTAAACTATTCTGTTCTTTCAGCAGGGCGACATTACGCCACTCTTTTAAAACATGTCGTGAATCATTTAGAGTGTTTGTGGTGAGAGACGCTCATTTAAAATCAAGTTGAAACTTTTAGGTCAGGGCCCCACTCTCTCACTCTGTTAACAAGGAATATTTAAAAGGCCGTTTTGGGGAATATTCAAGAGGAATTTAAAAGCAAATGATAAATTTCAATGTGAAGAGACCACAAACTGTCTCGGAACACTCGCAGTAGTTTGTGTTGTGACAGAATGGAATCACCTTATTCAGGACGGTTTCAGGCTAAAGACACTAGACAGACAGAATTCATACTTCAGTTCGGGGAAATGTGGAATCATTTGCTTTAATCATCTTTGGGAGAATTGCACCGCTGCTAATTGGCTATTTAAGTTGATTAGAGAGTTCATTAACAATTTGAATTCACCAGGAAAAGCTAACACAGCAGTGAATCACTTAGGCAAAATATATGATGCACTCTGAGACACACAGTCTATAAGCATGTCATCTATGGTGCAGATGTGTGCTCATGAAGGTCATGCTGACGAGTCTCATACATTAAAGCTGGTGCATGAGTCACATTAGATCTGTGATTCATTTTCCAGTGATCTGGACATTTTCAGAGATCTGTTGCAGATCCATCGAGCAGGAAACAAAGAGGGATGTAATGGAGGAGGTGGAAGAGGAGGAGGAGGAGGAGGGCATCAACATTGTTTGACAAACCATAACTAAAACAAAATGCACAATAAGGAGAGGAAAGGGATTTTAAATAAGTGCTTGTTAAATGCCATGCACCTGCACACTGCACTGGACTAATTGAGCGAGTAACCTAATGAGATGTTTAACCACTTTAATACTTTGGACCTGAATTTAAAAAAGTGCTTTCTAGAAGCAGGCTAAAGAATAGATAATGCATGACTTTCATAGAGGTAGAAGAGTAAATATAGGAAAAAATGGATTAAGATCAAAAGCAATGGCCTGATTAACAAGCAATTAGTCACAGCAAGGTGAAGAAAGGTTTAACAGAGTGAGCAAAAAATAGAAAAAACACCCTATACCGAGAACCTGCTGATGAAAGTTCGTGCAGAATACACTGCCATCAGCAGCATGCACACACACACACACACACACATACACACGCTCGATTAACTGCACTCCCCGTTCACGCCGACTGCTCATGCATGTGCATACACTAAGGTTGCGGAGAAGAAGTGGGTGCTATATTAATTCACTACTCACCTAATTAACTCTTTTCTGTAACACATAATTTATTGACTGAAGTGGAGACGTTTTACAGAGGAGCAGAGTTGAGACACAAAAGCAAAAGACAGAGCAAAACGAGTGGTCCTTCATATTCCATCATGACGAGATCCCACTCTCACAACAGTCAAGAACGAGCTGTTAATGAAGCCCTTTTGTCAGTCTGTAAGAAAAAGGGGGAGGACCACAGACTGAAGTGGCTGTCATGGGCCTATGCTACTAGGTGTAATTTTTCAATTGCACAGGCAATTTCAGCCTCATGACCATATATATACATGTAAGGGCTAAAAACTTACTGAGAAGATACGAGCAGTGGAAATGCTTTAAAACAGCGCTCCCAAAAAGGTGTGGCAGTGTGAAGTAGAGACGAGGCACCGAACACAATGTAAAGAAAAGAGGAAAAATGTGACAGAGGAAGAGAGAAGGGTAGGGATGAGATGGGGTATTACGTTCTCTCTCTCTCTCTCTCTATATATATATATATATTTTTTTTTTTTTTTATCTGTCTATCAGTCTGTCTCTATCTACGACCTGCACACAGTGGCTGCTACATCTCAAATCCACAGCAAGGCATTACCCGCTTAATCCACTGCTCGACATCCAACTAAAGCCAACTCTCGGTCTCTCTTGCCTGATAGAGGATGAGAATGAAGACAAGTGGAGGGGGGGAAAGAGCTTCAGGGATGAACAACCAGCCAGCTCTGGATGAAAACCGATCGAAGGGAGGGAAGGGGAAAATTGAAAACATGCAGCGGGCAGAAGAATTCAATTCTGACGACTATTTTTAAAATCAAAAAGAAGCGAATAGAGGTTTTAGGCCTGTGTGTGTGTGTCTGTGTGTGTAAGGGGGGGGTAGTTTAAGTGCTGACGGCTGTTGATAGACAGGCAGGATGAATTTAAGCACAAATCAAGCATGAAATGGGATACACTCCTAATGAGTGGAGATGGCCATTAGCTCCGAACTTTGAATGCAGCTCACTAAATAACATAAATTGAATATAATTTACTTAAAGAGTCAATTTCCCAAACTTTGCCAATTTAAGATATGAAAATATGAAATAAATAAAGCACCTGGAGATTAATCGCATTATCCCTCAGGGCTACACTTGATTATTTTTCTTCCCTTCACAACAGGTTGCAAAAGATATTGACATCTTTATTAAACAGTAAAGGGGACATGACGTGTGAATAAAGAGTCCTCAAAGACGACAATTAAAAATGGGAGCACTTTGCCATGATGAGGACAGATGAGGAGCAGGAGGATGTGAAAACAATGCGAGACCAGACGGATATCGACTCACTGAATACTGTCCTTTTAGGCATAGTTTAGTGTGCGAGTGCATTTGTGTGTTAATGTGTGTTTTATGTATACGTAAAGCACACACAAATACACACACGGACAGACAGATAGACAGACACTAAACAATAGTTAACCTACCTAGGGTCAAATTTAAGAATCCCACAAGAGTGTGATGCAAAGAAAATGGGTGTGGAGGGACCAAAAGAGAAAGAAAAGGGGAAAAAAAGAGTCATTCATGGAGGGTTTTTTTTGGTTATCGCTGAAGAAAATTCATCCAAGTTCATATAAAATCAGAGTTTAGAGACAGAGAGAGGTGTGGGATGAGGGGAGTGATGGCAGCGGCAGCAGCAGCAGCAGCAGAAGAGATTAAATGGCAAGGAGGGACCGACAGGTGATGATGGGGTTTGGTGAGAGGGGAGGAAAGAAATGACCAAAAAAATTAAAAACAAAACTCCCTCCTTTCTCTTTTCTATCACTCATGAACAGAGAAAATTATACACGAGGTAGATGGAGAAGTAGATGAGGAGGCAAATGATGGAAAGAGAGACTATATGAAAAGATGAAGCACCTCCCAGCACCGCGATGAGGAATAAGAAAAATATAAAACGAAAGAAAAAATTGAATACTCCAAAGCCTTCCGTTTTTGCTCTGTTTAGTGAGGGCGAGAGTGGGAGGTTTTCATTATATCCCCCTCTCTCCCTCTCTTTCTCTGCAACTGGTCTTCTTGTGTCTTCTGTCCTCCTCAAAGCAAGATGCTACCTTCCCTTCAGATGAGCCGCGACCCTCTGCCAACACAGCTGTGAGACATGGCACTCGGTCTGGCTCGCATAGCGGGGTGCTGCTGCCTGTGTACCCAGAGATACAAGAGTGTGGAGCCGACAACACACCTCTGGCTGGCGGAGAGCGCAGCAGAGCACAACTCCAACTGCAGTCACTCGCTCTCCTCCCCCTCATCTAGAGAGAGAGAGAGAGAGAGAGGAAGGGAGAGAGACAGTGACAAAAAAGGAGGGGGTGGAAGGAACAGACAGAGAGTTGTGTGGAGGTGGGTTCCTGTGTAGTATTGTGTATTAGAGAGAGATGCGACAGTAAAGCGGGCTGCTGCAACAATTGTCAAGAAAACTGCCTCTACAAAAAAAAGCAATGGCTCCCTCTACTGTCGCCCTGAGCTCAGACATGAAAATAACATGAGGAACTACAGTGGTCGAATGGTATTCAAATACTTTACTTAAAAGAAGTAATGGGAGTAAAAAATAAATGTAGTCTTTTACTAACAAGTAAAACTCCTGCATTGTAAACGTAACTTCAGTAAAAATGCATTAGC